TGGTGGTGTTGGTGGCGGTGGTGGTGTTGTTGTTGGTGGCGGTGTTGGTGGTGGTGGTGGCGGTGGTGTTGGTGTTGGTGTCGTCATAGCCGTCGCAGTCGCCGTTGCCGCTGCCGTTGCTGCTGTTGTTGCTGTTGCTGCTGTTGTTGCTGTTGCTGTCGCTGTCGCTGTCGCTGTTGCGGTTGCCGTTGCCGCTGCTGCTGCTGCTGTTGTTGTTGTTGTTGTTGTTGTTGTTGTTGGCCTTGTTGTTGTTGTTGTTGTTGTTGGCCTTGTTGTTGTTGGCCTTGTTGTTGTTGGCCTTGTTCTTGTTGTTGTTGTTGTTGTTGTTGTTGTTGTTGTTGTTGTTGTTGTTGTTGTAACTAGCATTTTGGGTTCCTGATGCCACCTAAGTGTTGTGTACATCAACTCCTTAGGCATGGTTCTGTTTTGCATGCCTTCTGCATTGGGTGGTCTAGCGAGGAAAGATCGTCGAGGACGACCTTCGAATTGCGGCACAGCCTTTCGAGGACATCAGTGTCATGAAGGCAGTCGATTACCCTAGGCCTAGGCCCTGTGCAATAATCTCCTCCTGGAGATGCTCTGACTCCTTGTCTGCAGTCCAGATGATCAGTTCTTGTCAGAAGCAGATGGAATTCACCCAGAAGACACTTTCTATGCATATGACGAGAGTGGGGATGTTCATCCTCTGCCCATGGGTTCTTTCAGGTAAGTCTTTCAAGTGCAATGGAACAGAGAATTTGACCCAGCCAGGCATACCGGCGAATGCCGAACATCTCCTGGACATGCCTGGTACCGAGACGCCAATCCCGGGATGCTGCTCAGCAGTTGTGTAGGCAACGCGCACGCAAAGGTCGACATACCTGTGCAGTGCTGGGCGTGTGTCAGATTTAGCCGACGGCAGCCCATATGTAAAGCTTACATGAATGTTTTTAAACCACACACGTGTATAATATACATGTAATACATACATATATATATATATATATACATATATATATATATATGTACTGGTGGTTTGTATTGTTTCCTGTTCCTCTGCGAATTGCCCCTTCATCAGGTCGCACGCCTGAAGAGGGGTTCCCACCATCCATGCTGATGAATGTGCAGGGGCCACAGTTTTCAATCGTGTCGTGCTGATCTAGTCTTGTCCCCTACGCCTCTAGCTAAACTCTTCGGTGCACTTCGTTGTGCCCACCAGCTTTACCTTCCGCACTTTTTCTGGTTTTCAAGCTCGAGGGGATTTTTTGAGGCGGACAGTGTTTAGAGTTTCAGCATGTCCCTCCATGCCTGAGGTCGCTGGTCTTCAGCCGTGGCCACAGCATTTGAACTGCACCCCTGCGTGCACATAGTACAGTATAATTGTATAGGGACTATCATGACAACATGTGGACTATTTTTCAAACGACATCCTACAGAGGGTTTCGGCTTTGGGCACTGCATTTCCTGAAGCGTCACGCTTGGGGGCAACGGGAATCCCGGACTGAGGCTCGAGGGAGAGGCCACGAAACCCTGAACCCTATGGTGTATGGTTCAAGGGTTCAGGGCTTAGGGTTTACCCCAAAAGGGTTTTGGGTTTTGGGTTACCCAGAAACCCTAAAGGGCGCTAAACTCAAAAGAGCCTCAGGCCATGCATTATCGAAGGCTGTTTTTTCAACGTTAGAAGCCTTGAGCCAACAGCTTTAAAGAGAAAACTTGAGCCCTATGCCTATACGATGTAGGGTTGGGAGCTGGCAGGCTATCGGTATGGGGCGTGGGGGTATGATGGGTTTTATGTTGAGGTTCTGCTTGAGGCACTCCTCCAAAAAGAGCCTCACCTTTGAAGGGCTACTGAGCCCTAGAAGGCCTGAAGCCATCTAGCCAATGTGTAAGGTTCGGGGTATTTCTCCCAGCCCTGTTCCAATCTCTACATGAGCCGAGGCGCCGTGCCATGTTCTCGGAAAACCAACGCACGCCATGTCAACGATAGATGCTGTGGTTTTTAACTTTTATAGTGGCGCAAAAAGCAAACGTCGTAACACTACCGCTTAGGAACGTATAGTTACCGACAAAGCATCTCATGTAGGCCCTACGCGACGTACTGGAAACCAAGGTTAGACGACCTGTTTACAAAGAGGATTCGTAGACCCCATTTGTACCCTTGTCAGAAAACTGATTAACGCGGAACAAACGCCTCATGTAAGCCTTTAGCACGCGATTATGCCTCAAACCCCTAACCGTTCAGCTCTGCAAACCTTTAAGCCTACAGTAATTATGTCCTTCACCACCAAACCCTATGAACTTATAGAAACCTTCTGAACTTCCCCTCCCCCCCCGTCTCCTAGGTCCGGGGCGGCCGGCAGACCCTCCCGTGGGCTTCGAGCCACTGGTGATCGAGGCGTGGGGGTTAGGGGACAGAAAAGCGCAGTTTGTGTGAAAGAGCAATGGTCGGTGAATGTGAACAAACAAGCAAACCGAAGTGGCTACAGGTAGGAAAACCGATATAAGTTAGGGGCTAATCCAGGACAGTATTCGTTCTAGATTGCGGCTGCTCTTTGTCATGGCTTTCGGACAATTTGTCGCCCGAACTTGCTGGAACTTTGACCCCCAATCAGGCCCTGAATCGGAGCAACTCTTCATGTGAAAATCCTGGGACCTCAGACCGCTACGTCTTGAGAGTAAGAGCACACACAGAAGAAAGGGCATGAGGAAACATGTTTTTTGGGAAGCGGCCTCAGTGCAAAACGACGGCAGTGCAGTTCAGAGCAGCATCCATGTTGCCTCATGAAATAGAACAGGTGACATTAGGTCCTCAGCCACGATGTCGTAGGCCAATATATGTTTATGACCATGTCGATAGGCAGATAGTTGGAGAGATAGATAGATAGACTGATGGATGGTGGGATGGGATGGGATGGGATGGGATGGGATGGGATGGGATGGGATGGGATGGGATGGGATGGGATGGGATGGTTGGGATGGAGGGTGGATGGATGATGGACAGATAGGTAGATGTGGATAGATAGATAGATGGATAGATAGACATAGATAGATAAACAGAGATAGATAGACAGAGATCGATAGACAGAGTTAGATCGATCGATAGATAGATAGATAGATAGATAGATAGATTAGATAGATAGATAGATAGATAGATAGATAGATAGATAGACAGATAGATTAGATAGATTAGATAGATAGATAGATAGATAGATAGATAGATAGATAGATTAGACAGTTATATGGATAGATGGATACATTTATAAAGGGATGGCTAGATAGGTAGATCGATAGATGGATAGATAAGTAGATAGACCGATAGATGTACATAGGGTGTGGGTTTGTACATACAGACAAACATACATACATATCTATATACATATGTACACACATGCAAAGATGGATGGATAGAGGCAGAGAGAACGGAGTGAGCCGAGATATGCCCGAGAAAGTGATGTGCCTGGGGACGAGCATTAAGCCGACTCATCCACCACGAGAACTAGTCAATGCAGGGGCCTTCATGATTACCTACATTATTATTATTATTATTATTTTATTTTATTTTTTATTTTTTTTTTTGGGGGGGGGTCCTTCTTATAATTATA